TTTTAACTTGGCCTCCAGCTTGAAAAATAGACTTGTTTGAATGCATGAATCATTGATGGTATACTTGGAACAGTCCACTACCTGGATAATATTGCACTATCAGCTGATTGCACTTGGGATTACCAGAAACTGAGAGCATATATAAGCACAAAGGACATGTTAAAGGTTTCACTGAAATGGCAGGTGAAGAAATTCAGCATGTGGTAGGAACTTGCCCCAGCCCTCCTCTTCCTTATTGCTGTGCAGTCAAGGTTGCTAGCAGTTGTGCTAAAGCTTATATTAAATATAGGTAGGATTCTCAGCTCTGTGAAGAATAGCCACTCTTCCATTTCTGTAGCATCCTTATGCTGCCATGGTGTAAATGACACTGAAATCCAGATTCCCCTATAGTAGGATGCCGAGATAAAATTTTGATTGCCTTTCATTTTATATCTTGCATTTCTTTATCAGTTCATCCCTCACTCGTATCGCTATTTTCTGTGCAATCCAGATGTAAATAATTTGCACTGATTTCCTATTGATAATATCAGACTTCTTGATAATTTATATAGGAAGTTATTAACTTTTTTTTTTTTAATGTGTTGTTATGCAGCAGAACGCAGTTTTAAATTCAGATTTCCAACACATGCAGCAGGGATAACTTTTAATATTTCACATATGCAAACGCACCTTCTGCAGTTCTGTGTATGAAAGGCGATATTAGGAATAGAGACATTGCATGTCTCTGTTTTCAGTACTTCTAAACTACATAGGTGTGCTGTTGCTAGCTTTTACATTCCTTTCCACTCATTTCATTCCTCACTTTATATCTGTTTCTTCCAAAACTTCAGGACAATGAATAACATTTTGCAGTGTATATGGAAGAAGTGTGAAAAATTTGAATGAAAAATGCAAAATTTAAAATGCAAATTAAGCAAGAAATATTTCATAAAAAAGTATTAGAAAATAAACATCAGAGTAATCCTGAAAATAGGTAGAACTATGGCATTCAGTATCTGATTTATTTCATTATCTTTTTAAAAATATTGATATATAATAAATTATACCGAGTACATTATTTTATAAGTTTATGAAGTTAAACTTGTGTAAGATTATGAATTCGATCCTAATATAACCAATGTTTTAAATAGTCTAATTTTGATGGAATGTAGAGTATTATATGATAACTCTTATTATAATTTGCTGCATTTCTAAGCCAGTCCTAGATAATAAATATGGCCATTGCATCAGGAATGCGCAGATGAATATATGAATTTTTGTATTCTAAGATTCGTAAAATCATAGAGAATATTGCCTGTAAAACCTAGCTGGGGCCAGCTGAAGCATTACTGATGGAATGTGAAACAATCACAATATCTTAAAGAAGGCTGGAATATCTTAGACAAGATTGTATCCCAGAGAAAAAACAAAAAATTAAAGTAAAGTTGAAAGTTATGCGATGACTGTATATACTCTATTTTGTAGTTTCAAATTTGGTAAGAACTGTGAATTCCTGAAGTCATTTCAACTTTTTTCCATTTTTTTGCCATTTTAAAGGACTTAAGTATAAATAGGTTTGAAGTCTTCAACTTATCTCCTCAAATGCCAGATTCTCTAAATATAAAATCTCAAAAAATGCAGTAGATGATTTTGTTATATGTGCATCTCGTTGCCCGTTAGCCTTTCAGGGTGTCATACTTCACTTCTGTGCCTTTCAGATCATTAATTCAACTTCTTTTATTGTTTTTGTGGAGACAAAGCGTACTGAATCATTAACATTATTATTTCAGACATAGTAAAATCACACATCAACACTTTGCAAAGGGGAAAAAGTTTCATTATCCATTCAGAACAATTTCCTATGATAATACAAATGTTACCCTGGACAGATCTTTGAAATGGATACCGATTCTTTAAATTCTTTCCTGTCTGTTTCAGGAAATGGTGAGATCCTGCTGATAATGCAGTACAATGTGTCTGAAGTTCACTTCTAAACAGTGGCTCTTTGCTGTGAAAGTCATCTACATTCCCTTTATAATTCACGGCCACCAGAGATCTGCTTAATCGCTGCGATCTGATCCAATATCATTTAGAAAAATCCTTGATAATACTTCCACTATACAGTCAATGAAAAAACCAAAGCATACTGCTTGTGTCTTCTTAAAAAAATTCTGAAGCAGGGGAATTAGACATTGGCTTATGGGTTGGGAGATTTTGTTGTTGGCAAATAAAATGATTATTAATAATATTATTCAAGTTCTTAATCAAGGCAAGCAAATGGCATCTGTTTGTTATCATCCTTCCTACAGAAGACAAAGGCTTCCGTCCCTATGGTACTGACTGCTGGCCCCAAGTGGTTGCTGGATGTGACTTGGCAAGGAGTAGAAGACAACAAAAACAACTGCATTGTGTACAGCAAAGGTAAACACAAGCTGATTTTTTGCTCTACTTTCTTGTGCTGGGTATTGACAAAAGATATACCTATTGCGTAACAGGACAATGGATAGTTTGACTTCCCTCAAACTGGAATAGTTTTCCATCTGTTTTTGCTACCACATTCTTGTTATGCTTTTTCTTCCGTTGAATGATATAAAACCCCTTACAATGTCTGTAGTGTACTAAATGCTTTATAAACACAGAAGAATGTCAGCCAACATGAAATACTGTTTCTGAGAGTTGGTGCCTCTTGGTAAACCTCAGTGAAGTCTATACAGCTGAAATAGGTGAATATTTTCTAACATTTTATAGGACATACCAGAAAGCATTTCTCCATGTTACATTACATTACAGACTCCTAACTGAAATCTTCTTTTATAAGAAGAATTTGAACTTGATTCGACTGTGATAAGACTTCATGTCAGCATGGAAACAGAAGATAACTGGGACTGGATTACAGGGCTGTAACTTCTGACATTCCAGTCTCTGCATGATGATGCTACACTGTAATGCATTAGCTAATGGGAATGCATATCATATCTGCTTTATGTGAGTTTTCAGATTTGCTCAAGTCAGTATGAGTTCTTATGAGGCCCCCCAGACATGCTTTATCTAACCTACCACATCTAATAGCTACTTTGATTCAAGATGCTTTTGTTTTTATCCAGAGAGCCTTGAGTTCTTGGGTTTGTCGTGCAGTGGACTATATACCAGGCTGTTTGGTCACTCACTGTGAAAGCTTTGTAAAATTTGGTCATAGTATCATTGCAGTGTATTAAAAATAGTTCTTGAATACACAGAATAATTTATTTAGTGTAGCTGTTTTTGGAATTCTGTTGAAGATCATGTTGCAAAACTATGACTTTCCTTCCTTGCATTTCAATCACCAGTCTCAGCACTTTGTGAATGCTTCAGAACATGTACTGTTCTCGTTTAATTTCTTTTAGGTTTTATTTCCAACCAAACAGACCTACTGAGATCAAAGATTTGTTTGCTGAGGCAACCTAGTGACCATTTCAGCACATAAGCATCCAGGCAAATAAGCACCCATATCAATATATTAACATACAAAACACTAATCATAACATCAAAGACTCCTAAAAACTTACTAGAAACAATTACAACTTGTTCCTATAATCATTGCAATTTATACACTTATAAGAGGATTGCTTTTAAACTACCACAAGCCTTTGAAAGTTGAAAAGCTGAAAACAGGGAATTTGCATGTTAAAAATGAGTTACACACCAGGGTCTTATAAATTCCTTCTATTATAATTACAGAATGCCAGCATATTCATTCTGCAACCTGAAACACCTGCAGTACTAAAGAACTGGGCTCACAGCTAAAAAGGGTTGAGCTGCCCTTCCTTCACAGCTTTCTGATTGCTGCCCAAGTGAAAAAAGTTGCAGTGTGCTGAAATACAGGGAGGGTTTTCCCTATATAGAGAAAGGTTTTCTCCTGCATACTGAACTGTATGAATATGGTTCACAGGCAAAGTTTTTTTGCAACAACTTTTTAATGTAATGAGAAATTACTTTCAGTCTAAAATATAACTTCTGCAAATTCCCATAGGATGCTGTCTTATCAAGTATTATATTCTTTCTGTAATTATAATAGTACTTAGCACATATATACCAGTAAGACTTTTCATCTTCAAAGTACCTTACAAACACTAACTAATTCATTAGACAGTTTCAGTGCTGTGTGATTGAATCTATTGATTTCTTTTTTTAATAATAAGAACTTACTTTCTGCGATTCAGCACAGTTTAAGCAGACCAAAACATTACTTTTCATTCTAATGTGCTGGATTTTGCTTCACTGATACTTGTTATTTTAGTATTTCATTAAGAATGTAGAGTAATAGTCATACAGTGCTCATTTATAACCCTAGGTTATAAATGCATGTTAAAAACCTGGAATTTGACTAAACTATGTAGGAAATAAGTTCGTACCTTCAATGAGTTCTGTTCATCTCTTTGCACTTGGCACTGGCTGTACTGTTGTTCATTAAGCACCTACCCTTGCCTTGAGGCCTGCTTGGATTTTCGTACTACAAAGATTAATTGGCTTGGATCACAAAACAATGTCAAATAGAAGATGGTAAAATAAATAAATATAATAACGTTTCTTCCTTCAATTTGTATCTCATCATTCCAGATCACATTGCCTTGATTTGTGTTCGCATTCTGTCTCCCACAGTGCCATTACTTCTAATGAAATGGTGTCAGCTGGCATGAAGTTGTAATTTGATGTTATTTTGTAGTTGCATGTGTATAATTTTGTTAGCTTGTTTAGCAATACATTGTTATTTTGGAAAGCAATTAGCTGAACAAATGTGTGGAATTGTACATGTAGTGGATTTGGTCACCTGGGAGCTCTTTTCCTCACTATATCCAAGATAAGATGAGTGGAATAAATTGGCACGCTTCTAAAAGGGAAGTAAGTTCTAGAATTTGCTATCAGAACATGTTACTAGTCAATGAGTTGACTTGGAAGTGCATACCATATTTCCTTTGAGCTGTAATAATACAGTGAAATCTTGGGAACATAATTTTTCCCAGACCTTTTAGAAGAGCACAGGACCATCAGGCTGACTTCCAGTTCACTAGAGGCTAAAGACATCTTAGTCAGCCACACACTGCATATAGAATGATCACAGGCACATTTTCAATCCCAGAAGAGGTATAGTATAGCTTCTATGCCATGTAGTTCCTATTGAAAATGAATCTCATCAGGGTACATAGCTCCCTTTTTGCCTTCAAAACTCTCCATAATACTTTCACTAGATAAGCAAACACGTGTGCGTGTGCGTGTGTGTGTGTGTGTGTGTGTGTATGAAGTACATCTATTAGAATCATAGAATCGTCAGAGCTGGAAGGGATGTTTAAAGATCATCTAGTCCAACTCCCCTGTACTGGATGTCCACTGCTAGATCAGGTTGCTCAGAGCCTGGTCCAGGATTATGTTGCTCTGTTGTTACAGTGAAATCACAACTAATCTTCAAGTTAAAATTTAAATTAAGAAATCAGTTATTTAAAATCACTCAGCAAAGCACTTTCAGAGTGAATAGCTATGAAATAATTATTTGGTGTCTGAAATCGATTCTGTTTAGTCCAGGATCGCTAATTTCTGTCTGTTGTTTTTTTATCTGCATTTCACCATCACTAGAACAAATCAGGAAAACGAAAAGCAGCTTATTAATGCCCCTTTTTACAAGTTCTGATGCAAACTGGCTGTTCATGGCATGTGTCATTATTGCATTCTATTCTTTTTAAGGGAAACTTTTACAGCTATAATTAAAAGATATGCTATTTTTGTTGTAATATTTATGTCAAACTTTTATCGTGTTTCAAAAATAGTTTCAATTCAATTTACAAAATTTAAGAGATGTCCTAGACATAGTAACTGAAATTTAAGAGAGATTTTAGGAATTGTACTTTGTATAGAATCAAGAATCTCTTCAAAAAGCTGCAAAATACCAGTAACTGAAGTAAGATCTTGTAGAAGGTGTTAACGCATGAATTCATTGCACTTTACTTGAGAAGCATTCATGCACCATTGTGCACCAGGTCTGGTAAATCCCTAGAACTAGAGGTAGGAGCCCCTCGACAGCCTAGGAGGGATGGGGTATTAACTGCAAATCTTTTCTTGGGACCGAAAGAGATTTTAAAAAATGGAAAAGAATAGACACCGTGTAGAAACTACAGTTGCACAGACTGATAACCACACTCACACAACAGACGTTTTTATAGATATTATTTGAGCCATTTATGTGAAATGTATGGATACCGTATGTTTAGTGGCATTGTTAAAACAGGGTGTCTGTACAAATATTTAGCTGTGGGAATTATAAAATCATAAGGCGATTAAGTTAGCTAGTTGTGAAATTCCAATATTGCTTTTTAAATGACTTCAGGATATAGGAGGTACTAAGGTTATTATCTGTTATCAGGAATACAGCGGAATTGTACGACTGGATAATAACTAAACAACTGACACAATGTAAAATTACATTATCAGTGTGTTAAAACAAAATTGCGCCCTAAAGGAGTCTACATGCCAGCTCAGAGCTGCAGTGTAATTATGCTTAACTCTGATAATTAAAATACAACGGAGATCAACAGAATCATTTTCATTAAGAAAATTATTAATGATGGTGGTATAACAGTAATTGATTGCAGAGCACCACAGGATAACTCTGTGCAGGAAAACCAACATCTTTGAGTCTGTGGCTGGGACCGGCTGGTCGTGTTGCGCAGTGCCAAGGCAGCTCCTGGCACGGGTGGGAGCTGCTAGCTGTGCGGCATGCTGGGCCTGGCAGCTGGTGGCTGATGAAGCCTATGGCTGGGATCTGGCAGCGGGACGGGGCGGAGTGGGGTTGGAGATGGGATGAGCTAACCGCAGCTCACCTGCCTCGGAGCTTCCTATCGTTCCGTGTCGCGTTAGGCGCTGTTTGCTTTTGTATTTACATGAGTGATTTACTGATGTTATTTCCTTCACTGCCTGGCTTCGCTGAGTAGTTTATGCCTTTGTTATTACTGCGAGGATTCGGGAGGAGAAAAAATGTCCTCACTCCAGTGTGGTTCCCAAGTGAGATGGGAGTGAATAATTCCAGGGGCTGGAGCTGTTAATTGCCCCGATGGTATTACCACATGATAGCAATGCCATAAAGAGCCTCCATCCCTCTGCAAGTGAAATCAGCCAGGGCCCGTGGAGAGACCATAACAAAGTTCTGGCAATGGACGATGTTGCCTAAGGACAAGAAGCAAGTGGTTTCATTTTCTCGTATAAATAGGAGGGAAATACTGTGCAGAGCACTTCCCCATGAGCTCAAGACTGGGTGCTTACTCTTAACAGATGTTGCTTTTGAAAGCTGCCCAAAAATGTCCATTCTCCAATCACAATAGAGAATAGGCCTGCTAGGGTGGATTTATGGGATGAGATTAGTTAAAATGACAGCTGCCCACGCTGAAACTGTGTCATGCAGCTAATTTGTAAGAGGAAATGAGAGGCGAGGCAGCAAGTGAGAAGGAAGAGCAGGAGCTGGGCTCTGTAGCACTGGGCACCCAAATCTGCCAGCACTGCTCGCCCATGCTCTGCCCCAACACTGACAAAGTCAGGCAGTAATTACCTACATAAAACTGCTCTAGTACTGCACAAGTGTGGGATGAGTTATTTGGTTAATGGCATTGAAGATACAAATGCTGCAAGAAGGTTACATGAGATTTCTAGTAAGAATCGGAGGGCATTTTTAATTAATATTCCTCATTTAAAGTACTCAGTCTACTTTTTTAACATGTAAGAAAAGTCAGTTGTTACAACAAAAGGATTTAAAATTTTTTGTTTAGCGAGACAGAATTACTTTTCTTAATTGTTCTGTGAGGTCCTTGATAGAATTTTCTCCTAGTGAATGAGCTAGCAAATACTCTTTTTTGGTGCAGCTTAAGGCAATGTAATGGTACATTGCTCTGCAGACATACAACATCAGGGACCCTAATGAGGCACAGGTCAGACATTATGAGGTGTTTAAACACTGCAGCATTAAAACATCAATTTATTTTGTTTGGGTCAGGGAACAAATTGTTTAGTAGGCCAAAGGATACTTGGGGTATATATTTTAGATTGCAGGGGGCTTTTTTTCCATGTTACAAAAAGCAAATTCTGTGAATTTCATTAGTCTGTTCCATGCAAATCATCAGAAAACAGAAGTATCTATTGGAAGACTGCTAGTCTCCATGGGTGCCTCCATTAGCTGAAGAACCTGCTGAAAGTCTTTGGTGGTGCTACAGATTTTTTTTGTTCTTTCACTGTGTCAATAGGCTACATGGGAAATCAGAGTACTTCTTGAAATGCACACAAGGCATATCATAGAGTCATAGAATCATAGAATCACAGAATCAGAGTCATAGATTGCCCCATCCCTAGTGCAGCACCTTGCACTTGGTCTTATTGAACCTCATTAGGTTTTCATGGGCCCACTTCTCCACCCTGCCCAGGTCCCTCTGGATGGTTTCCCTTCCTTCCAGTGTATTGACTGCACCGCTCAGCTTGGTATCATCCACAAACTTGCTGAGGATGCACTCAATGCCATGTTCTGTGTTGTTGAGGAAGATGTTGAAGAGCACTGCTCCCAAGACTGACCCCTGAGGGACACCACTTGTGACTGGCCTCCACCCTGATTCAGAACCATTAATCACAACCCTTTGGCTCCGACCAGCCAGACAATTCCTCATCCATCGAACAGTCCATCCTTCAAATCCATTCCTCTCCAATTTAGAGAGAAGGATGTAGTGAGGGACTATGTCAAAGGCTTTGCAGAAATCCAGGAAGATGACATCTGTCACCCTTCCCCTGTCTGCTGATGCCGTCACTCCATCCTAATATCCTAATATGAAAAGTCCATGGAAGAGCTGATAAAAAATGGGAGATTACTTGTGCTAGGGGGTTTTGAAGATAAGGTCTTGCATATGGTTTTAATAATCTGTACAAATATGGTTATTTTGTGCATCTTCACTGAGTTTGTATTTATGTCATAGTATATAATGAATTATTACATGACCTCTAAATTCTAAGCATGCAGATAGTAAAGGGAAGACCACAGGAAATGCAGAGGTATGGCTATATTTCTGTTCTTAAATGAAAACTCCTTTGTTCATTATTAGTGCATTTCATTCACATAACAGACAAATGATATTTTTAGATTGTTCTCATTTATGCACTATATATGCATTTGTTTTTGCGCTTTATTCTTCCTTATGTTCTTGTCACTTATGTAGCTTGTTTCATAATTTGAAATTTGAATTCCTTTTCAATTGAGGAGGCAAGGAAATAGGTAGAACACTGACAAGATTTGTAGAGAATGACATATTTTGGACTGAAGCTATAAAAAGCTGTAAAGAAAGTCTAACACTCACGAGAACATGTTAGGGATAAAAAAGACCCCAGTCTGTACTTCACACTGAAACCTTGTGAAAAGAAATACTGCTTCAAGTATTCAGACCCACTGGCAAAAACAAATACAAGCATCATGCAGAGATTATTTTTTTCACGACATGTATTTGCCTCATTTTTCTAAGTCAATTGCAGTGGAATCAGTCACTTACAAATCATTTTGAGAAAAATGTCATTATTTTCAGGATATGGCAGAGATGCTAAATGTGTTTTATTTCCTTTTAAATTAAATTATTTTTTCAATTCATTATTGTAAATAAATATTGAGGATTGCATTGAACTAAAGCCTCATGACCCCTGTGGCTCATGGTAATGTTACCTCTGCCATCTTCCCTGAAAAGCAAAAGGAAAGGAAAAAAAGCCCCCAAATTTGCTGAGCCACACATTTCAAGTTGTCGACAACCCCATCCACGAGAAAACAGAAGAAAATATATATGCACTCTGTCCTGTCAAAAGGCTTTTGCCTTATCTTGAGAGACTGTCAGGGCAGGAACATCATGGAATGGACAGGAGTCTATTAAATTAATAAGCTGCTGGATGGTGTCTGGAGAGTTATGATGCTCCATAAATCCAGTTTGATCATGGTGGACAAGGTTTAAATCTGCAGACTTCTAATACACATCCAGGTCCTGGATTGGATTTGAAGTTTTGTGCTGGAGACACAGAGATAGTCCTGCAGCTTGAGAATTAAGATTTATCATTTTTTCATACTGCTTTTTTTTTTCACTTCTTGACAAAAATGAAAACACCTTAGGGATCCTGGCAAATGTTACTGCTTGAAATGAAAGAGCTGTTGTCAAGGTGAAACCATGACCTCGAAGCCTAAAATCAAAGCTTGGTCACTGTTTTCAGGCAGCTCCATTGGTGCTGCG